CAAAAATACCAGGTAGGAGGGGACAATTCATAAATATAAAAATATAACAGAATATAATGTAGTGATCAGCTGCTTTTTTAGCTTAAGCTAACTTTTTTGGACAATGCACGTTTGTTTCTTCTATATTTAAATTGCATTGCATATTTTCTTATTGTGCAAATAAACCTCTCTCAAAACATTTTCATTTGTTAGTTAACAATTCTTGATGCAAGTTATTGCACCTGACTTATAGATTTTGATGCCAGCCGATGTTTACTTTTCATTCAATATTCAGTGTCTCTTAATGGAAGAATCCCCTTTCTCCAAATGACACCGCAAATGTATAAACACTTGATTTTATTCTGAACAGAAAAATCCAACAAAAGCATGCAGCAGAGCATTTTCAGCGTAAAACATGAAATAGTGGGATAAAAAAGTGTGTAATCAGGGTGGACAAACACTGGCTGAGTCACGACTTTGTAACGTTACACGCAGAGAAAACGTGCAACAACATTAACTCATCATTCACTTATAACAGACTCACCGGAAGACAGCTTCACACAACATGCTGGAAACTCCCACTGCACAGTTACAGTAATATTTTTATCAGCTTCAGGTTGAACTAATCCATGCTCTGACTGACTGCATTCAGCCGAAGTGATACATCAGCATTAGCTCATCTGTCTTCTTTTCAGTAACAAACATTATTTGTATCTTTCAGCAGAGGCTCAGCAATGTGAGCACAGCTCTGTATTGTATTGGATGGTAACGGAACTGTTATAGAGCTAGACTGAATATTACAATGAGATTATTGCCACACTTTATAACAGTTAGACCGCAGTAAGTAACATTACTGTAGTGGATGGCTCTTCTACTGTGTTGTTGTCCTTTTGTTGCAGTATTGTGTGGGTCACGTAAGTTAAAGGGACTTGAGAGGTGGAGAAGCTGTGCACCAGAGAGAGAGAGAGAGATAATATAAAATCAATTTTCTGGTAGTGTTGGAATAGTGTTCAATATGGATAATAGATGAGAAGATAGAAAATACTGTACCATATTTGTAGCTTGATCCTGAGGCTACAGTTTCAGGACCGCAATCCTGGGACCGGAACAGCAATTCCAGGACCCTTGTTTACTTTGACACTGCCAGCTAGCTGACTGGCTAGCTAGCTAGCTATGTTACTCTTTACAGCCCCCCGAAGCCAATTACCCTTACCACAACCACCACCGAGTGTGTGCCTAAATTAAAGTTATTGATTATATGCATGTCGACCGGTTAACCCTGTCTGCTAGCACGTCGGCCATGACGCCCTTCGTGTTGCTGTGTATTACCACCACCGCTCCACTAGATGGCGCTGTCGCAAAAGAACTAGGGTCCTAGAACTGCGGTTCCAGGATTGCGGGGGTCCTGAAACTGCAGCCTCTGGTACTGCAGCTTCATACTATTGCTCAAAAACACCCGCTAGCGCTCCCTGCTGGGCGTTTTCAGAAGAGCAGCTGGCGTTATCAGCCGGCAAAAAACGCTTTGGTGGACACGGGGCCCTAAAACAACACAGGGCGCAGTGTAAGAGATGCGCAACTGAACGCCCCCTGAAGTCGGAATTCCGACTCGGAGAGTCGGGACAACCACACTACCCCGACTTTGTGATCCAAGATGGCTGTCGGGGTATCAACAGTTAGTGAAAGCTGTAGTTTATACTGTTTATTAGCACTTATGTATACTTGTGACTCCTATAAATGTTCGTACACAAAGTGCTGTCCAGCTGCTGTCTGTGGACGTGTTGCTACAGTGTTTAGTGTGAGTAGATACCGCACAATGCCGGCGTATCCATAGCTAACCTGGATAGTTGTAAACAAACAGCTGGCCTAGCGACGTTTTCCGACTTGTTAACTGGAACACCGTCAACTCTGGTGTGACGTCATTCCCAGCTCCGACTTCTGACTTCCGAGGTAAATGAAACTCAGCATTACGTCACAAAGAAAAGAGCAGTCAGATTCTCTGAGTCCCGCGGTCCTCTTTTTGTCCTTATGAATTCTCCTTCACATCTTTCCTTGACCTCATGATGGTCAAGGAAAGATGGTCAGGAAAGGAGTTTTTTTTTTTACTTTTGGGACTCAGCCTAAGACACCATGCGAGGATCGAGGAGTCACAAATTTGGGAAATGAGAAAGGCCCAAGGTAGCAACAAAACATCCACAACGTCTGGTCAAGTTAGCAATAATAAATAGGCTACTCAATGTCTGGTTACACTTTCAAAATCAAACTACTGGTTAGTGTGAAACGGAAAGTTGTCCCGATCGTGGTGTGGAGGAGGTTGGAGGACCCAAACGCAGGACACAGAGCGGAGCAGGTATAGTTCAACGAAGGGTTTTAATATAACCAAAAAGCGAGCACACTTACAGGTGAGTGGCTGAATAACAGAAATCCGAAAGTAGAGACAAGACAAGCAAGGCTGGTTACAAGCAGGCAGAGAGTACACACACGACAGACTGGGGGGTAACATGAACAATGACCGGACAAGGACAAGACAGAAACACCAGGTATATATATATACACAGGGACTAACGAGCAGGGCGGGAGCAACACAGGTGACAGACATGAGACTAATGAGGCAGAGAAAAACAGAGAGACTTGACACTATATAGCAGATACTGGACAGTAGACAGGACAGAACCCAAAACTCAACATACTAAGGCAGATACTAAACTCAAAAGTGCAACACAAAGGATGGCCAGCCGGCAGAGCGTGACAAAAGTGAAACGTTGCAACAACAACAACAAAAAAAACTAGTCAAAGGTGAAAGAGTGCTTACAACGTTGATGAGAGGATGAAGAGGGTCTATCCTTCTGGGCAAATGAAGAGAAAAAAACTCAATGAGAGTGACTTAATATCTAGCAAGTATGGTTATCTGAAATGATTAGATATGCTTAAGTTTGTCAGTAGAGTAGATACTGAATTGCCAAGAACAAAATTAGCAATAATCAGAAAATAAATCATTGTCCCTGCATCACATGAACAGAGTTATCTTGCTGCCTAATGCATAGCCAATATTCATTAATCACTAGAAACACAAAGTTACGCTAGCAGCTGGTATAAATATCTCTCAGTTACAAACATAATACAACCAATAATACACAGAACCATTGTGTACCAAACATAGTAGTTGTCTAGTTTCACTTTAGCTAATAATCTTCGCTAACATGCTAACATTTAGCATTCAGACCTGTTCCTTACAGCTTTCAATAACACATAGAACATAGAATAAAACATAGAATGATTCCGTCTTTACACTTACTTATGATCAGTCACACACACGGGTAATCACACAAGATGGACCACGACAAATTCAGGCAATAAACTCGCTATTCTGATGACAATATGTAATGAACTCCATCCCCGTTGCGGCACTATCGAAACTTAAACTAAACTCGTGGCTGCACACAGACAACGCAGCTAGACAACTACATCATCAAACAATAGGTGCGTTCGAGATGACGGCGGCTGACTTTCGCCGACTTTTATCAAGTGACACAGGCCCAGGTGAAACACAGGCAGCCTCAGCCAGCACGAGCACAGCCAGAGATGTACAGCCAGGATCAGATACAAGCTGCTCAGCTTTTTCTAGAAGAGGTTTCCATTAGGGATTATTACAGAGACAAACTGTTTTAAAGGAGGGAGGATCGTAGTGAGAGCACTGCGATATCATGTGTGACTGGGCAGCAATGGCAAATTGTTTACATGGCTCACGAGTCAGCTAAGGGGGCCCCGTAGCAGAATTTTTGTACATACATGTAGGTATGTGTGCCTTTACTACGGTCAAAGCCCTTTCTGACATGGTAGTGCCAATTATATTGGGCTAAGCAAGGGAAGCTGCAAGCACATGTGAACACATTTCATACAGTTTCAAAAATGTATGTGAGGGGCATGGGGAGGCTGTGCCCCAGGAGAGCTTCATGTCTAGCAACGCCCCTGGTCAGAGGAGACTATTTACATGATTTGGTATTGTTCTACCAATTAAACTTTTCTGGTAATATATCAATAAGATTGTTCATTACCATTATCTTTTTGGGTAAAATTTGAACATAATGGTATCTTTCCAGAAGAAACAAATATTAGCTGCCTCAATTGTAGTAAGTTGTGCTCTATCTAGCGCGCCGTGCCCACTCCAGGGTAGGAACCTGCTAACAGAATAGTTTTGGTTGCAAGGATCTGGTCCACCTTCGTACCAAACGCTACCCCCCAGGTGTCTCTTTAACCCTCCCTGATCTGAGTAGACAGTCTGGTATGAACTCCTTTTGTTCACTCAAATAACATTTTTATTAAAGACAACTTCAGGTTACACAAAAACAAAAAATGTTCTAGCAAAAGAAAAAGAACATCCTAGCCCACTATAATACCAAAAACTGCAACTTAAATAGAGAAAACAGACAGGAAGTGACAGTACTTCAGATGATCCATGCTTGCTGGGACTGGCTGATCTCTAATGTCCATGCAGACATATTCTTTTGTGATTGGGTGTCCACTTGTCAAGTACTTATCCAAAGAAGGTTAAAGTCATTGGCAACTGGACTAGAAGATGTTTCATCCCTACCAGTCAGTCAGAACTGAAGAAGTCCTTTGGATGAGGGATGAAACATCTTCTAGTATCTTCAACCAAGTCCAGTTGCCCTTGACTTTAATGTTCATTGGATAACTATGACCTGGATGACTGAGAATCTTCAAAGACATCATGTCAGGTATTTTGTGAATGGTCTGTTATCCATATCACACCAAATATTGTACACATGAACACAGCAGACAGATGCCAACCTACTCCTGATATGTACTTAAATAGTACATTAAACAGTATATTACAGTAAAAATGCCTAAATCAAGCAGTTATGTAATATATGAAATAGATCAAAATGATGGATATAGTCAAAGTAACAAAAGCAATGAATAAATGTTAAAAAGTCAACTAATGGTTGAAATACTTAGCTAAATGAGATGATTAAATCCGGTATTAAAGCAAATCAGATTACAAATTAATCAATCAATACATTTATTATAAGAAATACACTTGTTATGGGCAACACACCATGATCATGTGATTAACTGATTTAACTTTCATGAAACTCAAATCAACTGTGTAATAAATGAGTAATAATTAGTAACAAAAAAACAAGTAAAAATGATTACCTATTGTGATATCAAAGTAATGTTAACGTAAATCAGTAAAATGTAAGAGTGAAATCTCAAAGTCAATCACTTTTTTCTGTTACAACTCCCATTTCTTATTAAAAACTTTTGGCACTTTAGCTTTCATAATCGTTCAATTATTTATCATCCTTATTAAATTCTTAGAAACCTCATGTTCATTACTTGTTAACATATTACTTTCCATCAAGTCTCCAAGTGTTAAAACAAAAGACCATCTTCTATCATTCTAAATATTTTGTAACAAATAACAGTACATAAATCATTTTCAGAACTTTTCATATGACCTATAATCTCAGTACATCAAGGCATCGTGATCACCATATAGGATACACTTAAGTGACACAATATAAACTGATTTAGCAATGCATGTAAGCAGTTACACTCAAGAAATATACTTTGTTATATACTTTGTCAGAGTAAAGAGTAAGAAAAGAGAAAGCATGCAAAAGTAAAATACATTTCTACTGTCAACTACACAGCAACAAACTACTTCCACTTTGTTTGCGCATTCATGCGGAGGGTCCGCCACATTGAGTGCCATCCGAAACCAATGAGGGCGGAATGGTAGGAGGTTGTTAAACTGTCCAACACCGAGTGAGCACCAATGCCAGCTTGTTGAAGGTGCTTGTTGAAGGTGCACCCTTTGCTGCATGATGGGAGACCTTTCTTTCAAATGTGGGTTCCGTGTGACTTCGCTGGTTAACGTGTAGGATTTTTTCATTCCGAAACATATCATATCATCATTTACAGGTTAACAACGTATCACCATGGCAATGCGCCCACTGGACCAAATCAACATCATCTTGCTGTACCATCCTCCCTGTCTGAGGAAGTACGGGAGTCTGACCTGGAACAAGAAATAAGCATCGTCATCAGTATGAAAATAAACATTAGAAACAAAAGCAACAGGATTTCATATGATAACAGTGTGCTGAAAAAGGAAAAATAGGTTATGAATGTAATGTATGACTGTACAAAATGTTCATAAATGACATTTAAATGTTAGTAAACTCGTCTTTATTACTCGCAGAATGACTTTGTAAACTGACTCTGTAAAGGGATGCTTTATAAATCAGAGCAGACTAACAGAAGATCTATAAAATAGATGAGCATTCTCAGAAATTAAACCATTTCTCTCATTGCCTTGTTGTGAACTCAACCAGACGCACTTCAAAGAAGGTCAGATGGTGTCAAAAGAGGGAGGGAGTTTCCCTCCCCGAGAGTTGACCTTTTCACATGTAAAAACCAGAGACATCGCCTGGTGTTTGGTAAGGACCAAAAGAGACTCAATCAGACAATGAATCGCTTAAGGATTGTGTATTCAAAGAGCCTTAGTGAACCTAGCCATAAAGGTGTCACTAAAGACAGTCCACAGGACAGGAAAAGGGGCTATCTGACCCCTTTCTCCCTCCCACAGGTCACCTCCGGCCTCAACCTGACTCTTTTCTCTCCACAGAACGGCTGAGCCATAAACCACCATTTCATTCTCTGATAGCCGATGCGATAAGCCAGGAATGCAAAGAAAAGAGACCATAACAACCCCTGTTTCTCAAACCAAGCAAGGTTCCATTATAACTGTGTTTGTTCTGTTCAAATAATAACCTTGCTAAGTGAGCAGCGGCGTTTGCCTCTGAGTTTAGTAAGTAATAACCCTGTTGTTATCCTTTTAGTGATGTTTGAACTAGCAGACCCATAAGAAAGTAATCTTGAAGAAGTTCCCTAACCTCTTTCTTTTTTATCTTAATTCATCCCTGTTACTCCCTAGTAATCACTGTCTTTTCAGTATTAACTAATGCTTTAGTGTGTTTCATGTACAATTTCCTACTAAAATATCCATTGATACGCTCATATGTATCACCAGCCTCTCAGTTAAAGTGGAATGTCTACTGTTTTCTCGTGTGACCCGAGCGCCACCAAGGGGACAGGAAAGGTATAACACACAAGTGTTTAAAACTCGGCTTAGTCTGACATGATCGTTAAGTAGGCCTACCTACCACCATGTAATTGCATAAACGCATAAATTTTGCTGCCACGCTTACATCTAAATTGTCTATTGAGTTAAAACCAGTAACCAGCAAGTATACTGAGGACAGGTAATTAAGCTTTGTTACGTTTTATATAACCATTATAACCTTTTTTCCATAGTGTTTAGCCTCGTTTTAATTGTCTTTATCCGAATGTTTAGAACTGATTATTTTTTCAAATGTCGATATTGTGGAGAGAGAGATTAAAGGGAAATACGCGCAACGTATATTTCTTTATCCCAAAAAGTTAACACCTTTGGGGGACTTCTCTCGAGACCCCCTTCCAAATTGACGTCACCACTACCTAAGGAAGTCAAATAAAAGGCCTGGCTGTCTTTTGTCTTTCTCTTCTCTTCTAAAAAAAACTCTCTTGAAAACAAAGATATAAACATATACGCTCTCTTAACTTCCTTTACTTTTTGAAATTCCGATCTTTTTTTTCATTTCGTACATTTCCTTCAGACGAGCTGAGAAAGCTACGACCCTGAATCCCAATTTTCTTAGCGGGAAATTTGATTTTTGATTTTTGTTTGGAGCTGCCTGGGTGAAACTTTCCTCAGACCTGTTTAATCTCAGCAACATTAAATAGCCTATATTCCCGAGGCCTCGCGAACCTACGGCGAATGTGTGAGTTTATTTGATTTTGTTGTTGCAACCTCATCCGACTGTTGTGAGCAACTTTGGACCAGAAACTCAGAAGCCTTTTATTTATGGCCTTGAATAAATGAAACCGACGACAGAACCCTGAGTGGGCCCTATAGCGACACCAAACGAACTCAGATCAGAGTAAAAGCCTTGGCTGACGGCCCGTTGCTGCAAGCGCTTCCCACAAAGGACTCCGGAACAAATCCACCGGTTTCGAACTCAACTCGAAAACGCCACTGGGGTTGGGCCAGAACCAACTCCACGAGCCAACCGGCAGTCAAGCCTTGCTACGGGACCTGCGGCAACGGTAGGGCAAAACAAACCATACTCTGTGACTCGTTGGTGTTCTCTAGTTGCCTCCATCCACAGTTAATAAACCCCTAGATTAGTTTAACTAAATCTGCAACCTAATTTCGTCATTCATTCCCTCATACTCGTAGAATTCTCTCCCTCTACAATATAAACTGAAATTCAATCGAGCTTTACATAGGCTACCCTGTTCATTACCTCCTGGTTGTCATATTGACTGTTGTCCCTGTAATATTACCATATTTACCCACTATTGTACTCTCTTTTGTTAGTTAATAAATTCACCTTGAGCACAATAGTGTGTGTGTGTTATTAAGAATCTAGAGTCCCTATACATAGAACTCATCCTAAGATTCGAGACTGACTGATTTAAGAATAACTGAACCAGTAACAACTAATGAATTACCAGAAATTCATGTAATTCTCAGGCTGTACTCAAGGACCTAAAGCCTTGGGCGGACAAGCAAATCTTTAGGTGGTGCTTCTAATTTCGAGGCATAAATTAATATTAATTTTCATAACTGTATTAAAATTTTACGTAGCGAAGATCTGCTACAGCCTGCACATCCACAACAGTATAAGGGGGTTATTTTGTATGCAAATTTTGGCCATAAGCACACATCATAATCTAACCTCTGAACAGCACCATGCCACACAGAAAACACTGAACAACATACCAGTTTGTGCCAACTGAAAGGGAATACTTGCGTGCTTCTTTCAGTAAAGCTGAATGTGCTGAGCCAATCTACAGGCTCAAGATCAGGAATAATCCAGGCACTTTGGATTTTTGGTTTCATTTATAAGCCAGGCCCTGAAATTCTGCAAACCAACATGGTATTGAAAGGGGGTCCTGTGATTTTCATTATAGTGTTATCTTGGCAACAATAAATAGAATTCTTTCCACCCCGGCTTTGAGTAAAGTTTGAATTGGTGAAGTTGCCTGGAAGTAAAATTTCAGGGTCCCCTGGGAAATAAATCCTGTGAACTTTTTAAAATGTAATGTACATTAAGCTAAAAAAGCATTGTACCTTAGACCTAGGAGACTGTCCAGAAAAACAACAGCCATCAGTTGTCTATTCAAAACAACGTATATTTACATTTCCCTGAAAAGGATGTCTAGTGACCGTGTGAATTAGGACTGTTGTCTGAAGTAGTGTGATGTTTCTATGGAGGCTCAAAGTAGGGAGGAGGTCGTGTGTGTGTGTGTGTGTGTGTGTAAAATGTTAATGAACGTAGTTACATTTTAATGTTCATAAAAGCTTACTTGACAGAGTTTCCTTTGAAATTATAGCCCTTCCCCTTTGACATGTCGCTCTCGAAGCCACTGGACGCAGAGGAATCTGCCCTGTTTTGCATATTAGACAAGAGAGAAAGACCACCAGGGTGGGAAATTATATTGAGCAATACACAGCAACTTCCTGAAACACAGAAACTAATAAGGAGACATCAGAAATGTTCAGTAAAAGTTTATTCTGTTCCAACTAAATGATTCTCTCCTCTTTTTAAAGTAGTTTCTCCTACTTCTCCCTCACATTAGATTACTCCAGTACAATATCAATATTATGAGGGTGCAGAGGCTTTAATATTTGCAGTCATTTTGATCTCCCAGAAAAGGAAGTTGAATTTACTGACTTCAGTGCCCGTCAGTTCTGACACAATAGACGCCAGTGACAGGAAAGATAAATGTAACTAGAGTCGCCCCGACTAAGGAGTAAAGGAGTAAGGAGGACGCAGCTGGCCAATCACAGCGCAGTATAGGACTGAGGTCAGACACTTTCATGGCTGCGCTCCATTGACTAATGCAAAAGACCTCGTTTTCTATCTTTTGTTGCTGTATTTTTCCAAGATATGGTCAAACACTGTTCCTGGGGCAATTTTAATAGTTACAGTCATTACCCAGAGAGGTTGAAAGGAGAAGTACGATTTATTCTCTTCAAAAACCTAAAACAAATCCAGAAAAATGTTGGCTGTGGATTGTTCCTAATGTGATGTTAGTTAGCTAACGCTGGCTAACTTATGACTGAATGTAAAGTTATAAAGCCCTACTGTTCTGCTTTTTAATGATTGTAATAGTGAATAGAGACCTACGGTTCCTGTACCACTGTACAGGAACCGTGTTGATCCCTCATATCGTTGTCCTCTTTCTCAATAGTCAGGTAATACATTGGTTCACTTTTACTCTGTAATCGGTGGACTTTAGCTTTTTTTTCATGTCAGTCTGACAGCCTGAATACAATCTTCAAATGCACAATGCAACTGTAAAACTGTCTGCTTCTTTCTGAGATCGTTTTTCCAAAACTTTGACAATATTTCAACAGGGAGTGCAGTAATAGACAGTGGCAGTGCTGTGCTAAAAGTCTGTCAGGTCTGACAGTTTGTCGGACTTAGCAACACTAACTAAGGGGGTGTTGCTTAGTGAAGAGTCAACTGTCAATATGATAGTGGGAGGGGGGTAGCTATACTTTAATTTTAAGAAGCTGCAGCGCTAAAGTTTCTGTTCATTAGTCAGTGCAACTTACACTGTACCTTTACAGTTAAACTGAGACTTATTGCTGATCCGTTTCTCTCTGTTGGCCTGGCAATCACCGGTCTTGTGCAGAACTTTGCGTGTGTGCCGTGTGGCCGACAATTGCATGCACGTGGCGGTCATCGGCGTCGCCAGGTCATTTTTCCGGGTCTTTAGGATGTTCTGACTTTAGTCCCGAATGTCACTCAACAACATCAAAAATATTTTCCATATTAACATGCAATAATCCTCAAGACGCAGCCTGTCTTGCAGGTCTACAAAGAGTGGAGGCTACTCGCAATAATATTGCTACATTTTGTTTGAAGTTCACGTAACTTGATCCCCCCACGTTACTCAGTCTGCTGCATTTAGAGTAAGCACGAAAAGAGAGAGAGAACACAAAGCATACAGCTTCAGGGCTTGTCTGCAACAACTGAAAGGTCCCTAGCACAATTGTTATCAAAACATTTAAAAATAAATGTTGCAAGTCAGCAGTCTCTCTGTCCCCCTCGCTCAGAGACACTTTGCTCTGTTTGACTGCCTCTCTGCTCCAAGATGCTTCCTTCTGAAGCTCTTTATCAGTGGTTCTAAAATTAACCTTTGTGTAAATGTGTAGTGAGATTTCTGTAAGATGGTCTAAAAGGGGGAAAGCTATCAGCAGAGCAATGACGCAGGATAATGAACAGCAGAGGAGTGAGTAGATTTGAATAGATCTGAATTCAAATAAATTAAGCTATTTTATCACTGAGGTGAAAAGGTGCCACATGCACATTTAGACTTTAGGCTACTTCAGGCATGCTTGCATGTATGTAGACTCAGCTGAAATTAAATTAAATGAATGAATTATGTTTCTACAGTAGAAACATATCTGACAGGAATACAGAATGCCTGAAAGCCTTACAGCATTATATTACACTATATGTTGTTATAATTTTGAATTGTCACCTGAATTTCCCTTTATATATATATAAAAAAAACATTTCCTCAATAAAGTGGTGCAAAAAATTCACCAGAATGCAGGAAATTAAGTGTTTAAAGCCCAAATTTTTCAGGGGGATGGATGTATTTATGGCCTATGATATTTAATAATTAATTTAATAATTAAGATGTAGCTCAGGTAAAGTACACTGAAAAGAATCATAGACCCATTTAGTCATGTCAACTTACTTCTTTTTAACTCATAGCTCTGACAAGTTTTGGATTTTGAACTCAACTGTATGAGTTTTAGAAAGTTAATTCATTGTGTTGACTATTTGACACTTTTGTCGTGTTGATTGAACTTACGTATGTAAGTTATCAGTTGAAAAAAAAGGCGAGAGTATGAGGATCGCCTAGGTGCTGCGTCTTTTGAGTTTGAGAAAAACATACACATAATCAACTAATTATTAGGGTTTAGCGAGTACTCCGGTACAGATCTGTTTTGTTATAAACTATAAATATATGAATATAAAAAAATTAATTACTATTCTCTGAAGCTCAATTCTGAGGCTGTTCTGTAAATGGTTTTCTAATAAATATAGCAAGTTCTGATAGAAATTTCAGGCTTAAATAACTTCCAGTTAATACCACCCACTTATAGATTAAGCTCTGCCCATTCTGAGTACAGATACAGAAAATTTGGTGTTCTTTCTCACCCCTGCTAATTATACACTGCAGATAAGTCATATATTCAAATTCTAACCAAAATATAGACACTTCTGTGCTAAACAAGACTAGTGCCACCGGTGGAAAGGGTTCCTGACAACGGCCTTAAGGCCCTTTCAGAAAGGAGGTGACATTTGCTGCTATTTTGAACTTTGACTGCGGCGTGCACAAGCGCACTAGCAAGCTTCCCTGCCCCGTCACAAGTCATTGAAGATAATAGCACAGTGGTGCTGTTGTTGTGGTCTGTCTTCAAGGCCCTTTATAGATGTAAACTGAAACAAATTTGGAATTTGGAAATGAAGTAGTATTAATTTGGTTAAGTTGCTTTAACTTGAAACTATGAGTTAGAATAACTTGTTCATTTAACTAACATTGGGACAACTACAACACTGTAGTTATATCCACTTTATGAACTTAAATTTATGAGTTGAAACAAAGGCAATCTTCAAGTTGAGTTATCTGACCTTAAAAATGTGAGTTGAAGGGGTGTAGAATTGTATGTTTGTTAGACAAGTGAAAGCAAGTTTACTTGAATGGACAATGTAATATAGATAGTTGTTTTAACTCACAGTATTAAGTTCAAACACCAAATTATCATTAATTAAACAAATTGTATAACGTAACATCATGAGTTGAAACAAAGCTTTTCTTAAAGTTGAGTTTACTCACATTTTTAAGGCAGCAATTGAACTTAAGTTTTTAAGTTGAACCACCTAGATCATTTTTACAGTGTAGGCATAAAGTTCCGTTTAACAAAGGGCATAACAAGGTTTCAAGAGATAATGAGAAAGTCATTTACTGTTGGGGGGCGGGCTGAAAACAGGTGAACATAAAGATTTCTGGGCTAGGCTAAGCCCCCAATGTTTCAAGAGCCTGGAAACGCCCCTGGTCCAATCAATATAATGGCGTGACGGTCAGTAAAAGTAGTAGTGTGACATTTCTAAGGAGGCTCCAAGTAGGGAGGAGGTTGCACGCGCGTGTTAATGATGTTAATGAACGTAGTTACATTTTAATGTTCATAAAAGCTTACTTGAGAGAGTTTCCTTTGAAATTATAGCCCTTCTTTTTTGACCTGTCGCTCTCCAAACCACTGGACGCAGAGGAATCTTCCCTGTTTTGCATATAAGACAAGAAAGAAAGACCACCAGGGTGGGAAATTATATTGAGCAATACACAGCAACAGGTTTCTGTTTAAGACTGTGGATCAGCTGGTAAACCCAACCCCTCCTTGTGCCTCAGCTGGAAGTAATGATGACTGTGAATTGTATTTATCTTATTTTACCAATAAGGTGGTGTCAATCAGAGCCTCTATTACCCCCGCAGCCTCTTACTCAGAGGTTCCTCACCAGCAACAAGAGAGTTTTAACCAGTTTTATCCCATCGACTTGTCTGAGCTTATAAAAACAGTATCACAAATGAGAGTGTCCTCCAGCCCACTTGATGTAATACCTTACTGAAAGTAATAGATTCTGTTGGGCCCCATTTGATCTCTGTTTTCAACAGCTCCCTATCTACTGGTTGTGTCCCTGATTATTTTAAAACGGCTTGCGTGAACCCACTTTTAAAGAAACCTGGTTTAGATCCCTCCCTCCCACATAATTTTAGACCAATTTCAAAACTGCCTTTTATTGCAAAGATTCTAGAAAGAATTGTGTCCAAACAGCTGCTCACTGTACTGGAAAATAACAAAATATTTGAAAAGTTTCAGTCTGGTTTCAGGAAGTACCACAGCACTGAGACTGCCCTGCTTAAGTCACCAATGACCTTTTAATGTCTGCTGATGAAGGCATGTGCTCAGTCCTTGTACTCCTGGACCTTAGCGCTGCTTTTGACACCATTGATCACAACATCATGTTAGACAGACTGAGGCACTGGGTGGGGATCTCCGGTACTGCCCTAGAATGGTTTTCATCCTACCTGTCAAATAGGAAGTTTTGTGTGTCTGTAAACAACTATGTCTCCTCGTTCTGTCCAGTTAAATATGGTGTGCCTCAGGGGTCGGTCTTAGGACCCATTTTGTTTTCCTTGTATCTGCTTCCCCTGGGACATATTATCCATAAACATGGAATTTCTTTTCATATTTATGCTGATGACACACAAATATACTTGCCCGTCAGATCCACAGACCCTGGGATGCTGAGTTCACTTAACAACTGCCTTTGTGAAGTTAAAAAATGGATGTCAAATAATTTCCTCCAGCTGAACTCAGACAAAACAGAAATCCTGGTCATCGGGTCTCAGCAGATGGCAAATCAAATACTGCCATCTGCTGGTTCCCTAGTAAATCACATTAAGCCCGTGGCAAAGAACCTTGGTGTTTGGTTTGATAGTAATTTAAATTTCGAGCAGCACACCACAAAGCTTGTTCAATCATGTTTTTATCAACTTAGAAATATAGCTAAAATTCGATCTATGTTAACTTTTAAGGACACCGAGACCATTTTACACGCCTTCATCTCATCACGCCTGGATTATTGCAACAGCCTTTTCACCCGTTTAACCCAAAAATCTATTGACTGACTGTCCAGAACTCAGCTGCCAGGCTTTTAACCAGAACAAAGAAATATGACCACATTACTCCTATTTTAGCTTCATTACACTGGCTCCCAGTGTGTTTTAGAATTGACTTTAAAATTCTATTGATCACTTTTAAAGCTCTTCATGGCCTCTCGCCTTGTTATATTTCTGACCTTTTAGTCCCATACGCACCAGCACGTACCTTGAGATCCTCGGGCAGAGGTCTGTTGTCTGTTCCAGAGTCTCGACTGAAAGCTAAAGGGGACAGAGCGTTTGCTGTCAGGGCCCCGAGGCTCTGGAACAGCCTGCCCGAGGAAATCAGGTCAGCTGAGTCAGTGAACTCTTTTAAGTCCCTTCTTAAAACATACTTTTAGGAGAGCCTTTCCCGATCTTATTTGACTTTATTTTATCCCTTTTATTTTATTCTATTTTACTAATTTTATATTAATCTGTATTTTAGTCTTTTCAATGTTTTTATGCTCTTATCTTGCTTGTTGTAATATTCTTTACACTTGTTAAAGCACTTTGTAACTTGTTTTTGGATTATCATTATTATTATTATTATTATTATTATTATTAACTTCCTGAAACACAGAAACTAATAAGGAGACATCAGAAACAGGTGTGCAACAGGAAAAATTTAATGGTTGTGTAACAGTGTAATAACTACTTTTCCAGTCTGACAAATGATGAATGAGCAAAGCTGTATAAAATGTAGCCTAATATTTTTAACGTATTACTTCTTCCTCCACTCCTGCGTTTTAGAGCCTATCATGTTCAGCGTTGGCACGCATTCATATTTCTAGCTCCACCAGATTAAAAAGGAGGCTCTGCCTTTATTTACCTGTTGCCATGGTGAGTTATAATTGCTGTCCATTGCTGATGGCTCCCCACGCACACGCTTCCATCATATTCAATGTACTCAGAGTTAATTGAACTAATTCTGATCAGGTGTTCTGAAACCGAAAACTTATGCCGGGAATCCACTGACTCCGGCTACGGATTGTTACAGCTGCACCAGGTTTTGATGCAGCCCCATAACAGCTGATCAGAATTAGTCCAATCAACTCTGAGTGTGTTGAACCTGATGGAAGGCGATGAAAAAAGCCATCACCAATGGAGCTCTGATATTACAATTCACCATGGCAACACGTAAATAAAGAGCAGAGCCTCCATTTTAATCAGGTGGCACTATAAATATGAATGTGTGCCAATGCGAACCATTATAGGCCATTTATGTTAAAATGCAGTGGAGGAAGGATCAATATGTTAACAATATTACTTTTTAAACAGCATTGCTCATTCATCATTTATCAGACTGGAATTCTTCTATAACCTATCAGGCTACATTTGATTTTTAAATAGGCTATAGGCCCATTTATTCAGCTGTAAATTGACAGGACAAAATGCAGGAGACAGTAAGCGACCTCAAGATGAAAATATGTATCAAATATAAGACACAGTTTACTCGTTCGACCCAGTAGGTTAGCCTATTAATTATTTTATGTGCAGTGGAAAATGTGTCAATAGGTTCAAACAACATTAATAAAATCTTGCTCATTTTGTATTTAATGAAATGCTGTTAAAAAACATTCAGACTGCAGCTAACAATAAAAAAACTCCCTTTTAAACTGCATTTGGGCCTATTTGTTTCAGCTGCACCACAGTCATCCTCACTCAGAAATGTTCAAATCATATCCACTACTGTCTCAATCAATCATGTTGTTTTTTTTTAATAGCGTGAATATATTTTGTTTTGTCTACACTGCAGCCTGTGTCTGATTTTATTTTATTTTTATCCTATTTTATAATTGTATTATTGTATGAGTAAGCACATCATGAGCATTTTACAATCCGCAGTCAAATTCCTCGTATATGGACACATACCTGGCAAATAAAGCTGATTCTGAGACTGTCCAGAAAAACAACAGCATCAGTTGTCTGTTCAATTGCCTGAAACAATGTGTGTTTACATTTCCCTGAAAAGGATGTCTAGTGTCCGTGTGAATTAGGACTGTTGTCTGAAGTAGTGTGACATTTCTATGGAGGCTCAAAGGGAGGAGGTCGTGTGTGTGTGTAAGATGTTAATGAAATGAATGTAGTTACATTTTGATGTTCATAAAAGCTTACTTGAGAGAGTTTTCTTTTAAATTAAAGCCCTTCTTTTTTGGCCTGTTGCTCTTGAAGCCACTGGACGCAGAGGAATTTGCCCTGTTTTGCATATTAGACAAGAAAGAAAGACCACCAGGGTGGGAAATTATATTGAGCAATACACAGCAACTTCCTGAAACACAGAAACTAATAAGGAGACATCAGAAATGTTCAGTAAAAGTTTATTCTGTTCCAACTAAATGATTCTCTCCTCTTTTTAAAGTAGTTTCTCCTACTTCTCCCTCACATTAGATTATTCCAGTACAATATCAATATTATGAGGGTGCAGAGGCTTTAATATTCATCATTTTGATCTCCCAGAAAAGGAAGTTGAATTTACTGACTTCAGTTCTGACACAATAGATGCCAGTGACAGGAAAGATAAATGTAACTGTGCTGAACATGTTTTAATGATAGCTTCATCAATATATTTGAAAGTGTGTGAAAGAATGTAAATGAGGTCAACAGATTTGACTCACGGATTGTCTGAAGACTGGACCAAATCACCACCATCTGCTGCTTCACCGTCCTTCTCCTCTGAGGAAGAACTGGAGTCTGAACTGCACCAAGTAATAAGCATCGTCATCAGTATGGAAATAAAAGATTAGAAGTAAAAGCAACAGCATTTCAAATATGATAACAGTGTGTGGAAAAAGGGTAAACAATGTTATACAGGTGATGTGTGTACAAAATGGTCATAAATGAGGCAACAGTTTAATGTTGGCAAACTCTTCTTCATAGGAGAGGAAAGTCTTTCATTAAAATGTTCAATGCAACCTTGTTACCTATTACTCACAGAATGACTTTCCAATGGGACTCTTAAAGGAGAGGTGCTGTATAAATAAATGTCCTGATAATGATTATACTCAGAGCAGACTGATGGAAGACTTTTTATGAATCTATAAAACAAGAAGGATCGACCCTAGAGGAGCATAACTGTGGCCTAGACTAATAGTCTAAAGCAACGATTCCCAAAGTGTGGTGCGCGAAAAATGTAATGGTGGTGTAATAGTGTAATAACTACAACATTTTTTGTGAGGAATTTTTCATTAAATAAAAACCTGATTGATTGATTGCAAAGTTTAACCATCACAGTACGAGAAAAGGTTTTACTGCCATGGTTACTTTTTATAGTAGGCTAATAAATATAACATAGCGATGTAGAGTGGCAGTGTAAAGACACAGAAGACAGATGCATGCTGTGTTTAAGTGCAGTGAGTAAGTAAGGGGTGAGCGATTTAAAAGCCGTCACTTTCAAGTTACAAGGTTGTTTATTTGTCATTATATAGCACAAGGCTGCATAACAAAATTTGTAGTTCCTTCATTGTAGTTCCTTTTTTTGCATAATAATATAGCATAGTATATATATATATATATATATATATATATATATATGAATTTTTATATTATATAATAAGCAAACCCTAGAGAGTCTGAGTTTTGGGGTGCAGCAACCCAGTCAAGATGTAGAAGGGGGTGGTCTAAAGTAATTCTGTGTAAAAGTTATTCATTCTAAAAGGTAAGTTAATGTGTTTTTTTCCTTTTTAAGGTTTCTATAAAAAGGTTAACAACCTGATAAACTTTGTATTTATTTAGTTTCCACAGCCAGCAGTTGGAATTCATACAAAGAGACAAAACTTGACAGGAGTTGAGTTTTGCGCTGCATCCTCTGTTTTCTTCTAAGCCTTTTCTGAGTTTAAGACAGACATGAAGCCAAACCCCAAATAACTCAACTATAAATGAAAACAGCTAAAGTTATATTTGATTTTAAACTACTTGCTGTTTGTTAACTGTGTAAATTTAGACATTAGCTTTTATGATGCATTTGATTTAATGTTGAACAAGGCACCTTTATTTTTTAAAATAAAATATACATTAACATGATAATCGTCATTTTCTTCAATCGTAAGTATTAGAACTCTTTAAATATGTTGCTTGTAAAAAGTGTTTGCTTGAGCTACATGAAGGCAGAGTCCCACCTTCACCTCATTTTGAACAAGGCCCTAATTTTTGTCCTTTTAATCTTCCATTTTGCGTTCAAGTTTTTGTGACCGGTAGTTATACATAACCAGCCAATTACACACTTTCAGTCCTATAAGTATCCACATTTCCATGGTGTCCACTCTGATAGCACTTTAACCAGGATGTAGTAGTAGCCAGTGAGGATCTGCCGAGCCAATCTACAGGCACTTTGGTTTTATGGTTTCATTTATAAAGCCAGATGTTGAGGTCAAGGGGAACTGGATTTGGTTGAAGAAACTAGAAGATGTTTCTTCCCTCAACCAAAAGACTTTCTGACTGGTTGAGTGACTGGTAGGGAAACTCAGCTATTTAACCTCTGGGATCGTTAGCTAGGATCGTCGATACCGCTGGTTCGTTAGTGCTCCTGGCTGTGTTAACGACAGTCGTCATGGTTGTTACAGCTACCCATGGCCAAGTCTGAACAACCATCGTTGGACTCTTCACCATGCTTGTTTAGTGTCCTGGGAAGTGATGAAAGGACAGCATTGTCAGCTTTTCAATCCGGGTGTAAATGGCTTCCCTGACACCTCTTTCGAACCATCCATCTTCTCTGTCTAAAATGTGCACCTAGGTGATGTACAGGTGCACATACACATATAAGCATACATGTACACAGTGTGATGAGTGCAAAGAACGCTGGAATAAATAAGTATTATGTGCAGTGTAGCTGGGATTGGCTGCAGCCGCCCGCGACCCTGTACGCAGGATGGATATGTGTTGATGTTATGTACATGGTGTCTGTGTTTGGACTCCCACTTTAGGTCCTGAGATATAGAGGATCCCAGAAACCTGAAGGATTCCACAGCAGACACAGGGCTGTTGAGTATGGTGATTGGGGCCAGAGTGGGGGGGGGGCTCTTTCTGAAGTCCACGATCATCTCCACAGTTTTGAGCATATTAAGCTCCAGGTTGTTCTGACCGCACCAGAGAGCCAGCTGATCAACTTCCCGTCTGTAGGCTGACTCATCACCGTCCCGGATGAGGCTGATGACCGTTGTGTCGTCAGCGAACTTCAGGAGTTTGACAGATGGGTTTCTTGAGGTGCAGTCGTTGGTGTAGAGGGAGAAGAGCAGGGGGGAGAGCACTGGCGCCCCCCAGGGGTCCGGGTGCTGGATGTGATGTTCCCCAGCCTCACCTGCTGACTCCTGTCAGTCAGGAACTTTGTGATCCACTGACAGGTGGAGGCTGGCACAGTGAGCTGGGTGAGTTTAGTGAGCTGAGGATGTCCGGGATGATGGTGTTGAACACCAAGCTGAAGTCCATGAACAGGATCCTTACATAAGTACCTGGAGAGCCCAGGTGTTGCAGGATGTAATGCAGTCCAACAGGGGGGCCTGTAATGTCCTTCAGGTGAAACACCAGTCTTTCAAAGGATTTCATGACTACAGATGGCACCAGGTCTGTAGTCATTTAATCCAGAGATGGAGGGTTTTTTGGGGACCGGGATGATTGTGGAGCGTTCGAAGCAGGAGGGAACTTCACACAGCTCCAGTGATCTGTTGAAGATCTGTGTGAAGATGGGGCCAGCTGGTCAGTGCAGATTTTCAGGCAGGATGGAGACACACTGTCGGGGCCAGGAGCCTTCCTGATCTTCTGCCTCTAGAAGAGGTGGCTCACATCCTCTTCACAGATCGTGAGTGCAGGTGAGGGGTCAGAGAGGCGGGGTGAGAGCGTGACAGTTGGGGAAGGTGATGGTGGTTTGAAGATGGTGTTGGAGTGGGGGAGCGGTGTGACTGTGGGCTTCTAAAACCTACAATAATGATGGCAAATTCTGACAGAAAAGCTAAAAACAGAAATTTAACCCAATGTGACACTGACGTTCGTTTTGGTGAAGCTCAAGCATTTTGTTTGGTGGGTAAAAAGCACACATACATGTGACGCTTGTTTGCAAAGGGGGGGCTCTGGAGCTCCACCCCTTCATAACCGAAATGCAGGAAGGGGCATCCCTCCTAAGTAGTGATGGAGGTGGAGGGGGACACATACATGCAAGACGCACTGGATGATCCAGGTACATCATTTGGATTTCCTTGTTTCAAAAGACAGTAAACAAAATGTATTCCACTTGTGTTTAAACATTTATTTAGGTTATACAAACAGTCTTCTCACTTAACGAGGCTGCTGATGAGTTAAAAGAATTAAGATTTATTTTATGTGACATAAGCGGCACTGAAAGATTTACTTAATAAAATAGTGGGGGGGTTTCCATACCGTGTTATTAAAAGCAGCGCATCACATCCACACGCTGGCACAGAACATGTGACATGAAACTATGCACTCGCATTTTCTTGACTGATGCATTTAAAACGGCATCAATTTAAATGAAATTTTCCTTCCTGTTCACCTTATTTATGAGAATAAATTGCACTGCATTCTTTTGCAAAAACTGCTATATTGTATCATACTATGATGTTTGGGTTTTGCACCTGTCTGGAGGTTTGATGTGGTTAATAACGGATTATTATATCATTGTTTCTTAGCAACAACAGTCACAATCATTCCCTGTCTTTGTGACACGTGCAGGCATGACAGTCAGACATCCTCATCTCACCTCTGAACTTCAATCTTGCTCGCATGTTGTCCACACAGGGGGTTTCCAGAGAGAAGCCTCTGCTCCTCCTCTTTCTTCTTCAGCTCCTCCCCTTTCTTCTTCAGCTCCTCCTTCTTTTTCTCTTCCTCTATCATCTTCTTCTTCGTCATCTTCTCCTTCTCTTCACTCTGCCTACAAGGAAAAGAAAACAACATCTTTTTCTACTTCTTCATTTGCCACATACATCTGAAACTGTGCACTGAACTGATGAAACTCAGTAACCGGAAAAACAGCTTGATGCACAGAAACTCAGAAATACACATTTGAATGATAAATTAATCTGAGGATGGGATTTACATTTAGGGACGGCCAGTGAGTGCACTGAAACAGAGGAGGTAATTAGGGCTGGATATGGGCAGAATTGTGCACTGGAGACTGAATTTGTATTCTTTAACTTGAATAACTGAAATGAATCTGAATAGCATAATCTGAGATTTAATTTATTAGTTGAAACTGGATACCAATTAACTTATTATCTTGAAACTGAATGTAACATTATGAAATTGAATTCATTTGCTCTTCACATTATAGTTTGAAGGTGGTCCATATCAGGCTGAAGTGTGAACTGTCCGAGGCCTGAAGGTGACCCGCTTGTGCGAAACATGAAGTCACACACTGTCGTACAGACGTAAACAAGGAGACACACAGTTAGCTCCTACTTGCTAACCCTCCCATATTTTCAAGGGAGACTCCTGTATTTCTTTACCCTCTCCCAGTTTCCTCCTGCAGTCACATTTCTCCGATTTATGACATGTTCACAAAAGAAAAATCAGATTTTGGGTCACTTGTACCTGCAGTCTGAACACAGCTTATGGTACACACATGCACACACCAATGCAGAGTGAAGCCAGCACCAGATCAGTGGAGATGACACAAGTTTACGATAGCTATGCTTGTTACTTTAAGTGCAACAAAAACGTTGAGATTAAAACGTGAATACTTCATCAATACACTTTTTTAATAAGCATAAACATATCAAATCAATATTTTATTTTGCTATGTTATCCTCCGCAGCTGGTTTTACACAAGCACAGGGTGCTAGCTCAGATAATAGCAAATCCTTATGTAACACATACCGTGAAATTTAGCAAGTCCTTATAATCTAAGCTGCTGGCTGACACAAACCAGATGCTCCTCTCTACCAGAAGCAGCAGAGGGAGGACGACAGGAGGAAAGACTGATACTGACTAATATATGTTCTTTATTCTTCATTCGTGTGAGAGACCTGGGTTCGAATCCACTGTGAGACACCAATGTGTCCCTGAGCAAGACACTTAACCCCTAGTTGCTCCAGAGGGGTGCGACCTCTGACATATATAACAATTGTAAGTCGCTTTGGATAAAAGCGTCAGCTAAATGAATAAATGTAATGTAATTTTGACATTTTAGATTTGTTTCCAGTCAGACACTGAGTTTACATACTGACTTTGCTGCTGTAAACGTTACTGTTGCTTCTCTGGAAACATTTAGTTAGAATAAATGATACAATTTTAATCCTGTATTTACTCTTTTACTGAACAATATATTTTTTAAAAGGCAAATATTTCGTAATGAAGAAAAAACGGTAAGAGTATCGATAAAGAACATAACTGACATAACATGATGACTTACTTTGGAAAAGGGGCAAATAATTCAAGGGCAGATGTTCTTGGTAGAGTTGCGTTTATGTTATTGTGACCAGTAGTTATGCATAACCAGCTAACTGCACAAGTTCAGTCCTGCAAGTATCCACATATCTATGGTGTCCACACTGATAGCACTTTAACCTGGATGTAGTAGGAGCCTATTATAAGCACACCACATAATACACCACAAATTGATTGATGCCTTATGGTGTATGTCTTTATTATTTGCCCTGTACTTTTGTGTATTCTATAATGTTTTTAATAATTATTATTAGATTAAACCAGGATAATGAAAAAATATTATAAACAGGTAAAGGCTCCAGTATTTTCAGTCAGCTTAAAGGCTCAGTGTGTAATGTTTAGGAGGATCTAATGATATTGACTGCAATATAATATCCAGAACTGTTTTCATTGACGTATAAAGATCTTACATAATGAGCCGTTATGTTTTTATTCCTTTAGAATGAGCCATTTATATCAACATAACCAAGGGTCCCCCTTACATGGAGGTCGCCATGTTGTGCTGCCATGTATCTACAGTAGCCCAAGCGGGCAAACTATACAGAACAGATTTGCCACTACGTTCTTCTTCTTGTAGAATTCAGGCAGTGTAGATGCTCATAACTATATTGAATATGTTAGTTAAAGAAGTAATAATATACAGCAGGGGTCAGCAAATAAGTTTTGCATTGGGCCACTACTTTTCATCCATCAGATAGTTGGACCAGAACATAAGATATAACAAAACAGTGCCCCCAGTCTATTGTATTTACATGTCACGTCCTCATGGTCTTTTTAGGCCAAAATTAAAATTAAAATGACATTTTCTATCTATGAAAATGAAAACGAGAAAAAACTGGTCTATGTTGTGTGCGCGCCGCGGTCGGTCCGGGCGCTGCTTTTCCGCGGGTTACGCTTTTTGCGTTCCGTCGGCATTACGTTGTCAACTGGCATTTGGGTCGGGGTCTACTGCGTTTGCATCGCGGTGCATCTGGGAGTCTTTGTTGTTGTTTTTTTATTTGATTTATTCTTTTTCTTTCTCCCACCCCTATTGGCTGCTGGGGTTCTTGCCTGCCTGTTACAGTCGTGGCGTCCCACTCTCACTAACAACTACATTCTTTAACAGGCTTATGCACACACACATGTACACACACACACACATACAGACACATTCACCCACACGCACACAGACACACACAGACACAAACAAATTTAGGTTGTCCCTGGTAGAATTATTCCTGATGCTTTTCTTTCAGTTACTTATTTAAATTAATTGTTGTTATTCCAGCTCTCATTGCTGTGTTGTGTTGCTTATTTAGTGTGTGTGACTGTTTCTTGTTTTCATTTTTCTCTTAGTTGTCTTACTATGTCAGCTGTTTATTGCTGCTGTTCGGCTGGTTGTCTTTTACTATTATTATTATTTTTATTGTTTGTTTTTGTTTGTTTGTTGTTGTTGTTTTTCTCCTCCCCAAGCCCCCCTCTCTGTTCTATTGCAGGTTTCGTTGCTTTCTGCAATTGGTGTTTCCCACAGCTTTTCCCTGTTGTCCCCACCCTCCATCCCCCTTCTCTTACAGGTGTTGTCCTTTCTCTGTGCTGTCTGTTTGTGCCCCTCCATCCCCGTGTCTGCCCCCCTGTCCGGCCCGGTGATGAATCAATACATAATTAAATAAATAATAAAATAGACAAAGGAGTATTTTAATACTCTCTTGTTAAAGTAAAATCTGTCTGGCACAATTTGGTATCCAGGTCATTATACACTATACCAGGCTGCTGGGCAGGACAGGTTTTAAAATCAAAACAAAACAAAAAACAAAAAAACATTCACAAGCAGCTTTCCAAGGGACACAATGGGCCTTTCTCATTTCCCAAATTTCTGTCTCCTTGACTCCTCAAGCGTGTGACCCGGAAATCGATCTCAGCACGCCATCTTGAAGGGCATCTCAATTCTTAAAATGCACATCGAGGAGGTGGAAATTTGGGAAATGAGAAAGGCCTGAGATTTCCTTTCCTTGGAGCCGTCATTTTAAAGCGACGTCAATAAATATGACCTGTTGCACAGCTGCATCATCTGTCCACTGTTTGAGCTGTGATCTCTGTCAGAACTGCAGATCATTTTAACAGGTAGAAACATCTCAAGGTTCCAATAAACATAGTATCTGTAGAAAACAGTCACAGATTACAGCAGCCTAATCATTCACTAGGCTACACAGTAGGCTACTACTTTTTTGGGTGCGCCTTTTGCCTGTAAACAGAAGTTCATTTCAGCCCTCAGTCTGATGAGGTGAGAGTTTCAGTCCCTTTACAAAATGACTCTAATATTTATCTCACAATATTCATCACAGAATTCTGCTGTTGGAATGACCTGTGCAGACTATATGGGCACTATTATTAGGCTATAACATGAAGCAGATCAGGTCTGAATGCTCTTAACGTGCGATAAAATAATTGTCGGCGTTAATTAATTAATGCGTTAATGCGATAATAATGCATTAATGTGCCCAGCCCTAGTTAAAAGTAAAAGCAACAGGTTTTTAAAAATGACAATAGACTATGGAAAAAGCTAAAAGAGGTTTTAGTGGTGATGTGTGACTGTACAAAATATTCATAAATGAGGCAACATTTTAATGTTAGTAAACACTTCTTTATATGAGAGGAGGGTCTTTCATTAAAACGGTTAGTGCAACCTTGTGAGCCTTACCTCAAACCTGACACATGATGTTCCATTTCCAGAAGGAATCTGCAAGAAACAATCAAATACACACACAATCCACCATCTCATTTTAGTCTCATACAATCTATATATTTAAGTGCTATATAAATAAAAGTTCTGATAATTATTACACTCAGAGCAGACTGATGATTGTTTATGAATCTATAAAACAGAAGGATCGACCCTTGAGGAGCATTTTTATAAATAAAATGACAGTTTCTCTCTCATTTGCAGCACATCCACAAGACTACAAGGCGCTTATTTTAGATTCACAAATTCTGACCATAAACAAACATCCTAATCTAACCTCTGTACAGCACAGAGGGGCTACAAAGCACTGATATGATGCTACTTTTTCCAGGATGAAAATAAACATTAAAAGTAAAAGCAACAGGTTTTTAAATACGATAACAGAGTATGGAAAAAGCTCAGAGGTTATACAGGTGATGTGTGACTGTACAAAATGTTCATAAATGATGCAACATTTTAATGTTAGTAAACACTTTATAGAAGAGGAGGGTCTTTCATTAAAGTTGGCCGTGCAACCTTGTGAGCCTTACCTCCGGGTAGACATAGAATGTTTACTTCCTAGAAGCTCTCTGCAAGAAACATAATCAAACACACACACACAATCCACCATCTTATGTTAGTCTCATACAATCTGTATATTATTTACTTTTAAAGTTTGTTTACTTATCCATGTTTTCCTATAAAGTGTGTTGTAAAATCATTTTTGCAAAGTGCTATATACATAAAAGTTCCAATAATTATTACACTCAGAGCAGACAGACAGAAGATTGTTTATGAATCTATAAAACAGAAGGATTGAGTCCTGAGAAGCATTCTCATAAATAAAAATGACACAGTTTCTCTCTCATTTGCTGCACCTCCACAAGACTACAAGGCGCTTATTTTAGATTCACAAATTCTGGCCATTAACAAACATCCAAATCTAACCTCTGTACAGCGCAGAGGGGCTACAAAGCACTGATATGATGCTACTTTTTCAGTGTGAAAATTAAAAGTAAATGCAACAGGTTTTTAAATATGATAATAGAGTATGGAAAAAGTTCAAAGAGTTTCCACAGGTGATGTATGACTGTACAAAATGTTCAAAACATTTTAATGGTAGTAAACACTTCTTTATATAAGAGGAGGGTCTTTCATTAAAGTTGGCAGTGTAACCTTGTGAGCCTTACTTCTGGATAGACACAGAATGATCCATTTCCAGAAAGTCTCTGCAAGAAAGATAGTAAAACACACACACAATCCACCATCTTATTTTAGTCTCATACAATCTGTATATTATTTACTTTTAAAGCTTGTAACTTATCCATGTTTTCCTATAAAGTGTGTTGTAACATCATTTTTGCAAAGTGCTACATTACACTGAACAAAATTATAAACACAACACTTTTTGCCCCCATTCATCATGAGCTGAACTCAAAGATCTAAGACTTTCTCTATGTGCACAAAAGGCCTATTTCTGTCAAAAGGTTTTCACAAATCTGTCAATCTGTGTCAGTGAGCATTTCTCCCTTGCCGAGATAATCTATCCACCTCACAGGTGTGGCATATCAAGATGCCGATCAGACAGTATTGGTATTGCACAGGTGTTCCTTAGGCTGGCCACAATAAAAGGCCAATCGGAAATGTGCAGTTTCACTATATTGCGAGGTTCCGGGGGGGGGGTTCCGGGAACCAATCAGTATGTGGTGTGACCACAATTTGCATTGCAACACATCTCCTTCAAATAGAGTTGATCCGGTTGTTGATTGTGGTCTGTGGAGTGTTGGTCCACTCCTCTTCAATGGCTGTGCGAAGTTGCCTGATATTGGCAGGACCTGGAACATGCTGTCGTATATGCCGAACCAGAGCATCCCAAATATGCTCATTGGGTGACATGTCTGGTGAGTATGCTGGCCATGCAAGAACTGGGGTGTTTTCAGCTTCCAGGAATTGTGTACAGATTCTTGCAACATGGGGCCAAGCATTATCATGCTGCATTATCATGAGGTGATGATCGTTGATGAATGGCACAACAATGGGCCTCAGGATCTCATCACGGTATCTCTGTGCATTCAAAAGGCCATCAATAAAATGCACCTGTGTTCACTGTCCATAACACATGCCTGCCCTTACCATAGCCCCACTGCCACTATGGGCCACTTGACACAACATTGACATCAGCAAACCGCTGATCCACATGATGCCATACTGCCACCTGCCCGGTACAGTGAAAACCGTGATTCATCAGTGAAGAGAACACTTCTCCAAAGTGCCAGACGCCAACAAATGAGAGCATTTGCCCACTCAAGTTGGTTATGAAGACAAACTGCAGTCAGGTCGAGACCCCGATGAGAACGACAAGCATGCAGATGAGCTTCCCTGAGACGGTTCCTGACAATTTGTGCAGAAATACTTTGGTTATGCAAACCGATTGTTGCAGCAGCTGTCTGGGTGGCTGGTCTCAGGCGATCTTGGAGGTGAAGATGCTGGATGTGGAGGTCCTGGGCCGGTGCGGTTACACGTGGTCTGAGGTTGTGAGGCCAGTTGGATGTACTGCCAAATTCACTGAAACGCCTTTGGAGACGGTTTATGGTAGAGAAATTAACATTCAATTCATGGGCAACAGCTCTGGTGGACATTCCTGCAGTCAGCATGCCAACTGCACACTCAAAACTTGGGACATCTGTGGCGTTGTGCTGTGTGATGGAACGGCACATCTTTGAGTGGCCTTTTATTGTGGCCAGCCTAAGGCCCACCTGTGCAATCCCCATACTGTCTGATCAGCATCTTGATATGCCACACCTGTGAGGTGGATAGATTATCTCGGCAAAGGAGAAGTGCTCACTAACACAGATTTTGACAGATTTGTGAACAATATTTGAGAGGAATAGGCCTTTTGTGTACATAGAGAAAGTCTTGGATCTTTGATTTCAGCTCATGATGAATGGGGGCAAAAACAAAAGTGTTGCATTTATAATTTTGTTCAGTGTATAACGGGTCTTTCATTAAAATTGGCAGTGCAACCATGTGAGCCATACCTCAAAGCAGAAACACAAAGTTCCATTTCCTCAAGCTTTCTGCAAGAAACGTAATCAAACACACACATACAATTATTCATCTCATTTTAGTTTCATACAATCTGTATATTATTTACTTTTAAAGCTTGTAACTTATCCATGTTTTCCTATAATGTGTATTGTAATATAATTTTGCAAAGTGCTATATAAATAAAAGTTCTTTCATTCAGGTCTTTCATTAAAATTGGCAGTACAACCTTGTGGGCCTTACCTCTCAATATCCGCAGAACGTCTCCCTTCCAGAAAGTCTCTGCAAGAAAGATAATAACATCACACACACACAGTCGCCCATTTTATTTTAGTCTCATACAATCTATATATTATTTACTTTTAAAGAGGTAGTCTTATGTTCATTTTCAGTTTCAAAATCCTATTTAGAGGTTGTACCAGAACAGGTTTACATGGTTTCATTTTAAAAAAAACACCATGTTTTTTTTCATACAGCACATTGCTGCAGCTCCTCTTTTCACCCTGTGTTGAACACATAGACTGTATGTAAGAAATGGACGTAGTGATCGTGACGTCACCCATTGGTTTGTGGACTGCCGTTTGGCCGATAGGGCGCCACCATGTCGACTCTTTGCAACCAGGAAGTGCCTGGAAGGGACGATACGGCGGAGCTAACGGCCGTGTGCGGAGCTAGCTTGCTTGCTTAGCTAGGTGCATCTGTAATTCACGTTAACTGTCATTTTAACAGGGCTGATAACTTTGTCTAGCGAACAGCGGTCTTAAAACTAAATGTACAACCAGAGAAAGTTAACAGCCAACTCCTAATAAGCTTTTTCAACGGCGCTGGTTAAATTTACACAGTGCCAAGGGTACGAGTCTTTAGCCTGATTGACAGGTCGCCATGGTAACGACTTGAAGAGCATTTTTATAAATAAAATGACAGTTTCTTTCTCATTGCCTGCACTTCCACAAGACTATAAGGGGCTTATTTCAGATGCACACATTTAGGCCATAAACAAACATCCTAGACCTAAGAGGTTACGTTACAGGTGATTGACTGTACAAAATGTTCATAAATGAGGCAACATTTTAATGTTACTAAAGACTTCTTTATATGAGAAAAGGGTCTTTCATTAAAACTGTTAGTGCAGCCTTGTGAGCCTTACCTCAAACCAGACACACAACGTTCTATTTCCAGAAGCTCTCTGCAAGAAACATAATCAAACACAAACACATACAATCCACCATTTTATTTTAGTCTCATACGATCTCTATATTATTTACTTTTAAAGCTTGTAACTTATCCATGTTTTCCTATAAAGTGTGTTGTAACATCATTTTTGCAAAGAGCTACATAAATAAAAGTTCTGATAATTATTACACTCAGAGCAGACTGAAGGAACAGAAGGATCGACCCGTGAGGAGCATTTTTATAAATAAAATGACAGTTTCTTTCTCATTGCCATTACAAGGCGCTTATTTTAGATCCACAAATTCTGGCCATAAACAAACATCCTAATCCAACCTCTGTACAGCGCAGAGGGGCTACAAGGCACTGATATGATGCTACTTTTTCAGTATGAAAATAAATGTTAAAAGCAAAAGCAACAGGTTTTTAAATACGATTACAGAGTATGGAAAAAGCTCAAAGAGGTTGTAGTGGTGATGTGTGACTATACAAAATGTTCATGAATGAGGCAACATTTTAATGTTACTAAACACTTCTTTATATGAGAGGAGGGTCTTTCATTAAAATTGGAAATGCAACCTTGCGAGCCTTACCTCTTGATAGACGCAGAATGTTTCTGTTTAACAAGCATTCTGCAAGAAACATAATCAAACACACACACACAATCCACCATCTTATGTTAGTCTCTTTCAGTCTCTATATTATTTACTTTTAAAGTTTGTAACTTATCCATGTTTTCATATAAAGTGTGTTGTAACATCATTTTTGCAAAGTGCTATATACATAAAATTTCTGATAATTATTACACCCAGAGCAGACTGACAGAAGATTGTTTATGAATCTATAAAACAGAAGGATCGACCCTTGAGGTGCATTTTTATAAATAAAATGACAGTTTCTTTCTCATTGCCTGCACATCCACAAGGCGCTTATTTTAGATTGACAAATTCTGGCCATAAACAAACATCCTAATCTAACCTCTGTACAGCGCAGAGGGGCTACAAGGCACTGATATGATGCTATTTTTTCAGTGTGAAAATAAATATTAAGAGCAAAAGCAACAGGTTTTTAAATACGATAACAGAGTATGGAAAAAGCTCAGAGGTTATACAGGTGACATGTGACTGTACAAAATGTTCATAAATGAGGCAACATTTTAATGTTAGTAAACACTTGTGGAGGGTCTTTCATTAAAGTTGGCAGTGCAACCTTGTGAGCCTTACCTCAAAACAGAGAAATAATGTTCCATTTCCAGAAGGAATCTGCAAGAAACATAATCAAACACACACACACACTCCACCATCTTATTTTAGTCTCTTACAATCTGTATATTATTTACTTTTAAAAGCTTGTAACTTATCCATGTTTTCCTATAATGTGTGTTGTAACATAATTTTTGCAAAGAGCTATATACATAAAAGTTCCGATAATTATTACACTCAGAGCAGACTGACAGAAGATTGTTTATAAATCTATAAAACAAAAGGATTGAGTCCTGAGGAGCATTTTAATAAAATGACACAGTTTCTCTCTCATTTGCTGCACCTCCACAAGACTACAAGGCGCTTATTTTAGATTCACAATTTCTGACCATAAACACACATCCTAATCTAACCTCTGTACAGCACAGAGGGGCTACAAAGCACTGATATGATGCTACTTTTTCCAGGATGAAAATAAACATTAAAAGTAAAAGCAACAGGTTTTTAAATACGATTACAGAGTATGGAAAAAGCTCAAGGAGGTTGTAGTGGTGATGTGTGAGTGTACAAAATGTTCCTAAATGATGAAACATTTTACTGTTAGTAAACACTTTATATAAGTAGCGGGTCTTTCATTAAAACTGTTAATGCATCCTTGTGAGCCTTACCTCTGGATTGACTCAGAACGTCCCATTTCCAGATGCTCTCTGCAAGAAACATAAACACACATACACACATACAATCCACCATCTCATTTTAGTCTCAAAGAATCTGCATAATATTTATAATATTCATATTATAATAATATAGAAATCCATGTTTTATAAAGTCTGTTATAACATACACAGATGCACACACCTAAACCTCTGGTCTCTTACTGAAAACACATCGGCTTTTCCCGCCTCTTCTGTTTGTGTCTGCTCTGTTGACTTTCTCAATCAACAGTGTGTTTTATTAAGTTGCTGAAAGATACAGAACTCAGATATTTCCACTCGCGATTCCATTTCAGAAGAAGGTGCACTGCACATGGAGGAGGCTTGTTAACGCCGTTGTCTGTCAGCACGAAACCAACGTAACAAACACCCAGTGTGTCTTTGTTATCTGGCTTCACTAACACTAACAATCTCAATCAGGATAAGCGGTCATGCAAAACAGGTTATTAAATCAGTAAGTCAACCCAGGGTTTCCCAATCCAGCCATGAGCCATAAGTTAGCAGCAGTCAAATCCTGGTCAAAGTCTACTCAGTCATATTTAACCCAACGAAGAGCAAACTGTAATATTTGATAAATAGATAAAGTCTAAGTTGCACAGCTGCGGCTGACAAATGCAGTAAAACAGAAAACAGTGTGATTGCCTAGCCTAAATGAACAGGCGTAACCTATAATATGAATGCGTTGTTATGATGTGTTTTTATAGCGTGTATGACAAGCTTAGCCTTATTCTTTCATCTCAGCTGTGTGTTTCCACATTAAAAGCTTCAGGCACTGAATAAGTTATATATATATATATTATATATATATTATATAAATAAGAACTTCTCATACACTTCTAAAATAAGATTAATTTATTTAACACACTCAAAAGTGCATTAACTTCATAAAGCACCAAACCAAAAATTAAATAGTGGTCGAAAGACTGAATCTCAACATTTAGGCTTTTAAAAACTGCCCCACATTACCTGCGCCCACAGTAAAAGGTGGGGCACTACATGACCTGTCTCTATAATGCAAGATAGTTACTAACCTAAAACAAATACATTCATATTAAACTTTATTTCAATAAGCCTACCAAACTATATGATCAATTCTGTATGTTTAGCCTCACATAAGAAAAATTAAACCCATTTCTTTTAACGGTTGCGAGACGCTGTGTGAAACGGACTTGGGAGCAAATAAAAAAAGATATAAAACATTTCAAAGCGGTAGCCTAGGCTTACTGTCACATCTTAAAGACCTACAACAAGTAGGCCTTGGCCTAGGAGCAATGAGAGGGAAGATGTGAGCACCACACAGACATGGAGCGACCTCAGTTACACCAAGAAAGTGGAGCACATTACCCCACTCCTTAAATCACTGCACTTGTTTCCTGTGTGTCAAAGTATGGACTTCCTATTATTATTATTGGGTGTGAATGCTGCAAGCATTCGCATCCTATGTTGTTGCTAACCTTTAACCTTTTGGGGGGCCAGCATTCACAGTATCTAGTTAGAATCCTATTACTCTCTATAAAGCACAAAATGGTATCAGGCCTAAATATGTCTGAGTAGTTTATTATGAAACATCCTCACCCACCAGATCAACTTTAAACATTCTTGTTTTCTGAGACTTTCCAATAAATTAGACTCATAACCTATTTTTAATCAGCAACTATTTATTTGCTTTTGTTTTTATGCTATTTTAAATGCAATCTTATTTTGAACTTTACACAATTATTTACTTCTTCTTTTTTCTTTGCCGTTTTCTATGCCTCTGTAAAGCACTGACTTGCAAATAGCCAACATTTTTTTTGATTGGGGGCAGTAAGGGACCTGCATACCAGGCGCTGGCCAAAAAAAGGTCGACAACCACTGAAAACACCTTAGCGTACGCAAGATGGCTGCCACGTGTATCCTGCCCCCCCCCCCCAAAAAAGGAGAAGTGTCACGGACAATAGTCTCTAACCTCTGCTGCCGCCGCCGCTGCCGCCGCCGCTGCCGCCACTCTTTCAGCCGCTCCTGCCGGTGTTCCTGCAGCCGCTCCCGTAGTGGCGGCGGCGGCGGCGGCGGCGGCGGTGCTGGGAGCTTCTCACACCGACACTCCTGCAGCTTCTGTTCCAGCCACTTCTCCCCCTTCTCCTCCTCCGTCAGCTTATCCTTCAACTCCTCCTCCTCACACTGAATCATTGCAAGTGTACACCTGCAAGGAAAACAAAAGTCCCACTCATGAGTTGAAAATCTATTAGGTTAGCTGTTACTCTGCACTGAACTGATGAAACTCAGAAACAGGAAAAACAGCTAAATGCTAAATGAATTTTAGGATGGGATTTACATTTAGGGAGGACCAATGAGTGCACTGAAACAGAGGAGCTAATTAGGGCTCTATATGGGCAGAACATTGTACCACTGGAGACTGAATTTATCCAAAGCGACTTACAATTGCTATACATGTCAGAGGTCGCACACCTCTGGAGCAACTAAGGGTTAAGTGTCTTGCTCAGGGACACAATGGTGGATGGGTCACTGGAATCGAACCCAGGTCTCCCCCACCAAAGGCAAGCATCTTATCTATGTGCCATCACACCCCTTTTTATGTGTATTTTATGTGTATGTGTGATTTGTTGTGAAGCACTTAATGAGTGCTATATAAATAAATAAAGCTTATTATTATACAATTTGAATCCTGTTCTGAATTTACTCTTTTTTTGTAAATGTTCCGTATTTGTATAGTCCCTTTCTAGTCTTTTTGACCACTCAAAGCACTTTTACACTACATCCACTCACTGAGCCTAAGTGCTCAAACAGAAACTAACATTCACACACACTCATACACTGCCATTGCCCCTGGTGGCAATTCAGCCAACCTGCTCAACCGCCTGAGCCACAACCGCGTTTTTGAACGATATATTTTTTTAAAGGCAATTATTTAGTAAAAAGTGCCGATAAGCGTACCGATAAAGTACGTAACTGACATAACTGCCAAAAAGTGTTCACATAAGTGTGCAGTTAAAGACGACATCTCTGATAGTGGAGAAGTTTAAATTTGTAGCTTTCACAGGTATGGTAGTGAATGTAGCGATGTAGCAGAGAAAGAAAAGGTCAAGGCTGAGGACTATATTTGAGGCAGCAAAAGATTATTTGGGTATTACGGATATGACTGTAGACATGTTACATGGAATGTTAGCACCTAATGATGGAATATCTTAGTGACCGTCTTTCCCCCTCTCCTTTATTGAGTTATGTATCTTTTTTGTGCATTCAACAGGTTTGCAAAGTGAAAAAGTCCAGCCCAAAGCGAGTTCCCATCTCCCATAGAAAGCACTGCTCTGAACTGAAAACAGTTCGTTTGTAGTCCAGCCCTTCACTTCCTTTACTTGTGACGTCACAATGAAAACGTGTCATAAAGTTTGCCAAGCAGTTAACGGGGTCAGGCACGCCCTCAAACCTAGCTAGTCTGAGAGGAGGCCCTTTGGCCCTTTGTTTGGTTTTCCATTGTAGAAATGTTGTACCTGTACCTGCTTCCAGGTACTTTTTTTCGTATCACCTCACCTCCTTGAGGTTCCAAGCGAGCTGAGGGATACTAAAATGTAACGTGAAAACACAACAGACTGCTGACTGGTCAGAGAGAATATTCACTATTCACTGCATCATCATTGCTGCACCAGACAGAGGCAGCAACAGAAAGTTTCGTATGGAATTTCATCACTAAATCCACTTCTGAGAAGTTTTGAGGTGAGAAATCAGCTGTGCAGATTTTGAATATTGACAGTTTTACGAGAAGTGATGGAACAAAAATGTGCTTGAATATTTTCGGAGTTGAGGAGCTCCGCAAGTGGCTGCGGGGGAAGCCTGTACCAACCCGCGGGAGGAGCGTGTGAGGCCGGCCAGCCGCCCGCTCACAGAGCCCTCTGCTCCCGCCGTCACACAGACCGCTGCAGCAACAACGGCAGAGGAAAACACAGCTGGAAGGTTTTCATACCGCTTATCTGTCTTTACATTCTGAGGAATGTTGAAACATTTTAACTTAAAAAAGAGAAAGCTGTGTGGATCGCTGCTGTGTGTGTGTCGCATTGAAAACAAACGTTGTTATGACGACAAGCTACATACTATCTGTGGGTACTATCTGCAATGGAAAACGGAGCAGGGCCGAGTCGAGTCAGAGTCGAGTCTATCGATTTGTGCTATGGTAGCATTTTTCGGCAAGGCAGCATAGATCGTCAGAACACCGGCAACAGTTCAACGTTTAGTCCTGATGGTAAGATGTGGAACAATGATGCTGTGTGGTTGTGGACTTGTAACTTATACCATCTGCTAGGTTACGGTCGCAGTCTGAAGTAGTGTTGTGTTGTTCATTGAATGTTTCGTTCAGAAGACCTAATCGTGTATATGACTCGGGAGGAACGGGTTGTCTCAGTGAGTAATTCGTTCATTTTCACGCATGCGTCAAGGATCTTGGCCTCTTACGTTCACTCGTCACACGGCAGCTGCATGGGCTCCGTCAGCACAGGAAACCGAATTGATTAGTTCACGACTCTCAACTGTGGGTCTGTTTGAGTCGTTCATTTGTCATGTGACATCTACTGTGGAGCAGGAATGAAGGACTCGTTCACCGCTCACATGGGTCCTCAGTCTTTCGTTCACTCGGCAGGCTGAGTGACTGCCAGCGCCGGAGAATGAGAGGCAGGTCGGCTGTCGGGTAACAGTCACTGGACTGACATTATATAGCTATTTTGTTGTGACATTTTATAAAGCATAACAATATTACAGCGCAGTGATGTTGTGCTAAGTTATAGTTTTAACACAGCACATCGTAACTTTAGTCCTGCTAGTGTTTACAGCTAACAGCTGATGAGAGTTGTTCTGGGTCCACTTCAGAGCCGAATAACCTCCGAGGTCGTCTTCCTCTCCAAAACAAACAGACCCGGTCATTAAAACATTAAAACACAGCCACGTAACAACGTTAGCGTTAGCCCTGTAAACAGCTAACAGCTGATCCAGGTCTGCCAGAGAACGCAACGTAACTTTTCCTTTTTATTTATCAACAGAGCCGTGCTGTTGTTTCACAGCACCTCACTGGTGAACAACCTGCAGTGTTTGAGAGCGATGTGCTCATGTGTGTTTCTCTGTCTGCAGAATCCGGACCTGATGTGAGTTCTTTAAGAACTTGGTGGCTTGATCCAGATTATTATTAAATTGGTTGAATTTTAATAAGAGTGTGTGGTGGTGGTGATGCCGAATAGATAAGATGCTTGCCTTTGGTGTGGGAGACCTGGGTTCAATCCCCATCCCCCCCGTCAGCGTCAGATAAATGTAAATGTATTCATATAGTGTATCAAGTTTATTACTTCTATATATTTACTGATATTAATATTTTACTCATGGATAGGGAAGTTAGGCTACTGTATGAATGAGCACTTTAGATATAATGATAGTAATTATATACATAAGGGCCTTTATATGGCTGGTCTGGTTGTATACTCGGGAAAGATTGTGAAAATGGAAGGATTTAGCCGGTGTAGTGGATTGCATATAGACAACATATTTCTGTGGTTTTTACATGGTTTGAATTTGGTTGTGGGCCCAGGGGGGTTTATATAATGATGATATACAGTAATCAAGAGGTGAATTTGTGCATTATTCTTTGTCAAATAAAGCAAACCAGGCAGCCTTCTGTGTTTGAGAACGGCGCTGTTTTTTTAATCGTCCACTAGAGGGCCACAATAACCAGCCTAGTTCAAATGAACGAAATGACTCAAAAAAAGATTAGTTTATTTTAATGAACAAGATTTGAATGAACGAGTCTGTCAAAAGACTCGAACTTGCCATCACCAGTCTGTAGCGGCTTTGATTTTGGATCACACTACCTTGTTTCTTACAACCCGCCCTTCTCTGCTTCTGATTGGCTAGTAGTCCTTACCTGACAACTGCACATGTGCAACTCCCAACAAAGATTTTGTACAAGTAAGATGCATCACTCTGTAGCTCAAGAGCGGAGCGTACAACACACAGGGTGAAAAGAGGAGCTACAGCAATGTGCAGTATGAGTGTTTTTTGAAAATTAAACCATGTAAACCTGTTCTGGTACAACCCCTAAATAAGATTTTCAAAAAATTTGAAAATGAGCATAATACCACCTCTTTAGACATGTCCAGCCCAAGCAGCCTATTACGATCACTTTCAAATAAAGTGACAGCCCTACCATGAAGTAATGGGCATCACTGCTGTTATATCTGCATTTTTTGTAACTATTTCCATTTTATAGAATTATATTACAAATTAAGTAAAAAGGGGGTCATTTGAAGCAGATCTTGTTTTTGGGTTTTGGGTATAACCTATTCCAAAATGAAAGCAGTAAAGCACACACTCATAAAATTGAAGGTCATTTCGTTATAGAAATGATTGTGTAAGACATATTAAGACACAGTACAGGCCTTCATTTAAATCCTGCCACCTGCTGCTAGAAAGGGGGAACAGCTTGATTCATTACGGTGGAAACCACATTAAATATTTAATATTAATATTAAAATATAGCGCTGACAGTAACAACTCTGCACACACAATCATTTCTTAGGTTAACCCATATTAGCCTATCAACTGTACTGCACCAAACAATGCGCTTAAAAAAATGTGACTCTTGCTGTTTACATGAATAAATGCACAATATTATAGTGCATGCAATCAAATGCTGTTGCTAACGTATTTCTCTCGGTCCAGGTTTATTTATTTATTTTATCTAACATCACCCTGGTATAACATTAGTGCTGCATAATGCTACAGATCTGACTGTTCTAAAAGCTTGGCTTTATTTTAATATCTATACTCTTACTTCCGGGTCACCTGTCTCACCTCACTCTCTTTCTTAACGTCCATCTTCAAATGGAAAATTAAAATAGGAATTTCATAAAACCAAAATCTGTCTGGGTATCTCTGGATAATCCGTAATTCGTTTGTAATTATAAAACGAAAATACTGTTTATCAGTTTTTGTTTCAAAACGAAAACCAAATAGCTGTTTTTGGTATCAGAATCAAAAAACGAAAAACCAATTACTGTTTAATTTTTCATGATACCAACGGATAGTACTGAACTCCTCAAGATCATTTTGGACTTGAGGAGCTCATACTTCGCTGGTGTGGATTGAATATGTAGTAAGATCATGAAGGCCATTGCAAACATCATTGTTGAGCCATTGGCTGATTGTATTAATCTTTCTTTACTTACTGGCATTGTACCTAAAATGACAAAAACTGCTAAGATAATCCCAATTTTTAAATCGGGCGGCAGAAATAATATGAGCTATTACCGGCCCATATCAATTCTTCCCACTTTTTCTAAAGTAATGGAGAAAGTATTACATAATAGACTTAGTGGATATCTTGATAAACTGGATATTCTTCTTCCCTCTCAATATGGTTTTAGAAAAAAGAGCACAACTTGACCTAATAGAACAAATTAATGACTGTATTGAAGAGGGAAAATGTGGTGTTGGTATCTTCCTGGACCTATCAAAAGCTTTTGACACCATTGACTTTGATATCTTATTGCATAAATTACAGCACTATGGTATCAGAGGTCTAGCACTTGAATGGTTCAGAAGTTATCTATATGAGAGGGAACAGTATGTCTATGTTGATGATCATAACTCTACTTGTAAGACCATAAATTTTGGGGTCCCCCAGGGCTCCATTTTGGGGCCACTGTTCTTCATTCTTTATATAATGACTTTATAAATTCTTCTAAAATATTTCATAAAATCCTCTTTGCTGACGACACAAATTTATTTACATCACACAGGAACCCACATACTCTACAAGATGTAGTCAACTCAGAGCTAACCAAAGTTGACTCCTGGTTTAAATGTAATAAACTGTCACTAAACATCAACAAAACAAATTTCATTTTATTCAAATCGAACAAAAAAAAAATTAACTACACTGCTCACTGCCTGATTAAAATTAATGGGCAGGTGATAAAAAGAGTGCATTCCACTAAATTTCTGGGGGTCCTCATCGATGACTCTCTTAACTTCTTGTAAGTAAGCTATCAATGTATGTTGGTTTGTTCTATAAGATCAGACATTTTCTTCCTTTGTCTGCCCTTCTTATTTTATACAAAACTCTCTTTGAATCCCATCTTAATTACTGTAATGTGATATGGTGCAACACCTTTAAAAGTCATCTTAAAAAACTTGTATCTTTGCAAAAAAAAGCCATACGGGCTTTGTCTTGGTCAAAGATAAATTCCCCCACCTGCCCTCTATTCTATCGCTTTGAGTTATTAAGACTAACTGAACTAAATCAATATCATAATGCCTGCCTTATGTTTCAAATTGTAAATAGGCTGAACTCTAGATTGAGTACTCTTGTTCCTATCTCCAGCCCCCAGCACACATACCAAACGAGAATCAAACCTCTTATATTAGGTAAACGCCGCCGACATGTGCGCTCCAGTGTTTTCTGTAGGGGGGCCGCAGATCTGGAACGGGATTGATGATGGCCTCAAGGTGTTGCCCTCTATCTCCCAACTTCAAAAGACAACTAAAAAATCACCTCATATTAACCTATATCTAATATCAATATGTTTTCTATTGGATTACTGGGATGATGTATGTGTATGACTGTATGTGTATGTATTATGTATGTTTTGGTGTGCTCTGTATGCATTTACTTAACTGTGTATACCTTGTCTATACCACTACCATTTCATAAATCATGGGCCCCCCGTCTATAAGCTTTTCTTAGCTTCTTTGGGAGACCAATTCACTATACCCGATTGATTCTGTACCCAAATTGTATTTTTGTAATGTTTTGAAGTGGTATTGTGAATAAACTCAAACTCAAGGAGTGTGATTGACTTGGAGTTACATTGTGTTGTTTAAGTGATCCCTTTATTTGTTTGAGCAGTGTATTACACACCGAGGTTTGAATAAAGATGGAGCAACCCATAGATTTCTTAACTGATGGGTCAAAAGGGAGTGTTGGAAGTTTCAAATAAAACAGACAGCCCTAAAACAAAGTAATAGGCAACACTGATTCTCCTAAACAGGTTTGATATCATACAAGAAATAAGGAAAATGCACTTCATTGCTAGGTCTGAAGGAGGACTTGTACACAAAGAGATGGCAGAAGTGGATACTTTACTTAGGCAATATATAAAGGACAACCCTCACAGCTCGTACTAATTAGAAGACAAGGCATCTACTTGTAAAACCGACAAAAAGAAACAATTAAACTATGTAGCCTTCTTAACCATGGTAGAAACACAAAAATCAAGAACAGCTTACAGAATCAACTAAATTTAAACAATTCAGCAAAATCGGGCAGGCAAAACGCTCTTATTCTGAAATGCTCCATGTGGGAAATTCACAGATCTGTGATCAGTAGTAGAAGAACACAAAATGAGAAACAACAACTCAATATCGTGGGGCAGGCTAAATGCTTCACTGCTGAAACGCTTCCAGTGTGAGTTGACGCAGGGCTGAGGAAGGATAAAAACCGCGGTACAGCCATAATGTGGCGTACAAGCCTCCTGTGTAAGTCCCGCGTAATGTTAACTCATCTCACCTCTGAGTCCCTTCAGTCTGGCTGCCATATTGTCCATCCACAGGGTTTTCACAAGGCCGCTGTTCTTCCTCCTCCTCCTCCTCCTCCTCCTCCTCCTCATATGGATTCATTGGACAGGTACACCTGCACTGCAAGGAAAACAAAAGCCCCACTCATGAGTTGCAAATATATTAAGTTATCAAAACCCTTTTCTACTTCTTCATTTTTTGCCACATAGAACTGAAACTGTCCACTAAGCTGATGAAACTCAGTCACAGGAAAAACAGCTTGATCCACAGAAACTCAGAAATAATTGTTATAATTGTTAATTCTAATCCTAGTTTCAGTCCTGCTTTGCCCCGTTATGTTGTTTTCTACTCCCTGCCTCTGTGTTCTAGTTCTGTGTTCTCGTTTAGGTTTTGTCTGTTATGATCCCTGTGTGTCGGTATTTGTCTTTTTACATGGGTTCATGTTATTGTCGGGGGTTAGATTCTTGTCTGGTATTTTGTAACATGTGTTCTGTCTGTTCCCCCAGTAATCCCTCTGCCTCTTTGTCTCCCTCTGTTTACCCCTGCTGACTCTCTGCCAGAGAGAGTGCCTCGTTATCCTGATCCCTGTCACCTGCGTTGCTCCCGGCCTGCTCGTTAGTCCCTGTGTATATATGTTTGGTGTTTCTGTTTAGTCCCTGTCCGTTCATTGTTGTATGATGTGTGTTCTGCAAGTTGTTGCATTAACCGTTCTGCTTTTTGGACGTTGCCAGTTTCGTCTTGCCTGTTGCCTTGGATTAAAAACCCTGGAACTAAATGTCAGCCATCAGTGTCGTGCATTTGGGCCTTCTCCTGTTTTGCGCACCCTTGATCCTGACAGATATATTAAGAAATTAAATTTACTTAATTATTCAGTAAAACCATGTTTTTTGAATATTGTTGTTACTTGTTAATTAATAAACAGCCACATCAAGAAATGAAGTGCTACACAGTGTTTCCAATACGTTCATTTATTTGTGGTGGCCTGCCACAATATCAACTTTACAATTTTTTAAGTGATATGCAAATATTTCCAAAATGTCACAGACAACAGAAACACAAACTAGTACTGACAGCCATAATTTCAGTTTGTGGTAAAACGGTGCAAAGGTTTAATGGGCATTTAGCATGTGAAAATACAAATTACATACTTGTGTGCACAGTGGGAGGCAATATCCAATAATAATATAATGCAAATTCGGAAAGTATTCATTATTGGTCACTTGATAGGCACACTATCTTATTATCACCATTAGCAGTAAAATGAAATACATGTTTTCCACCAGGGCAGTAAAATGTGAAGTTTAGTTGCTGATCTGAGCTTCCCTGCTGTTACTGTTTTATTGCCACTAATATTCATCAGCCGTTTGATTCACAAAGGTAACGGCACATTTCTGTTCACGTAATCTGATCGAACTTCGATGCTGGAAGCTGCCGTTTTATTGCCAATTAGTGATCAGTGATTGGCCCACAAACGTAACAAAGCTGAGAGAGAGAGACACTACATGAAACTAATCCAACTAACATCACATATTTTACACCACATGCCAAAGCACAGCACTGGAGAGTAAACCAATCCAACTAACATTACTTTTTTTCTACCAGGGCAGTAAACTGTTAGCTGGCTGATGCTTCCTTGCTCTAAACTAACATTACCGTTTTATTGCCAATTAACTTTACTAATCAGCTGATTGTCTCGCTAATGTTTGTTAATCTTTGTTTTTGTTGTTCACTGAAGACATTTGGGTTTAAGATCAAAAGATGAGTATGAGACATTTACTTTACTTTTGGAGGGGACTGTATATCTTAACCCAGAAACTTTTTTTTTATTTTCTACTTTGTAACATTAATTTTAGACCTTAGTTAAAAATTTGTCATTTCCAAAAGCTAAAAGGTTTAAAATAGGCTGCTGAAAATGTCCAGTCCATCTACATTTCCTGGTTTTATAATCTGGCCCAATAGAATTTGTAATGGAACAGCCCTGGGCTTTGAGGTGCACTAACTGTACTTTGTAAATTTGTATCAGCTGTGCTTTTCCTGCAATTGCAGTGTGTTGCTTATATCGAGTGATCATGTCAGTTAGATGTTAGATTATATAGTTATATTATGTATTCATTTCTATGGTTCTACCTCTTGAATATTTGGACATCGAACAAAAAACTAATACCAGGCAGTCATTTTTTCAAAGAGTCAAGTTCAAACTGACACATAATTTGTTAGAATGAATTTGAACACAGCCCGCATAGTGTAATTCTTTTTTATTTATTAGCATAGTTTACTCATGGGTGAACAGGAAATGCAATTTGTCAAGCTGATTGAATATTAAGAACGCCATCTGCTGGACCATGAGGCAAACTACTTCAAACGGTCTGTTGTGCTTATAGGCAGTTTTTATTTAGACACGTACAATCCAAACAGCCTTATTACAATCGTGTTCCCACATTTGAACACAGGTATGAATTTTAAATAAAAGTCACAGTGAAGGCATCACTGCTGTATGCATTTGTTGTAACCGTTTCCACTTTATAGAATGATGTTAAAAATTAAGAATATACAGTCATTTGAAGCACATCTTGTTTTTGGTTTGTGTGTGTATTAGGGCTGACCCCAAATAGTCAATAGTCAATATATAATATAAGATTCGATGCTTCGACGGGCAGAACCTGATTCGACTGTCAATCTCACAACAAAACAAGGATCATGCCATTTTGGCGATATGGTGGTGCTCAACGTCTGATTTTACATAGAACTAACAGTATTTTAATAACTTAATATACAGCCTATTACAATATACATTTCAATGTTTAATGCTGTATACAAACATGTGCGTAAATAAATCCAAAGTTGTCACCCTAACCCTGGGTTTTCAGTGTGCATATGTAGGCGTAGCGTCAATGGGTACAGTGGCAGACGAGGAACACTTGTTGAAGACGTGTTACGACGAATTGTCCGCACCGCGGGAGTTTCGGATAATTTATCACACCACACAAAAAACATTTTATTTTTTAAACAGCAGGCTACTTGAAATGGCCTACTCCCTTACTCTGTAAGACATTTCAAGTCAAGTTAACTTGAAAATGCATGTTAACTCAACATGAAGATGGCCTTTGTTTCAACTCATAAATTAATGTTCATAAAGTTGGTATAGTTCTTCTCGCCAGTGTTCTTTAATTGTCTAGAAATTGTTTTATTGAGTTGATTGAACTTTTAATAAACTTGTTTCAACCTCATACTTTGAGTAAAAATTAATTTTCCTTTTCATCTCAAGTTAAGAAAATTTAAATTCCAAATGTGTTTCAATTTACATGTACAGTATAAGGCCGATGTCAGGTACTCTTTCCACTGGTGGCACTAGTGTTTTTTTGTGTACCACAGAAGTGTGGAATTTGAATATATGACATATCTGCAGTATAGAATTAGTCGGGATGTATGAGTCCACCAATATCTTATCTGTAAATTAAAGTTTCTGTAGGCCCTCCTCAGAATGCGCGGGGCTTAACATGGACATGGCCGGGATTAAGTGGAAGTTAGTTGGTGTGGGTTGATCAGAAATTGCTATATTTAATAGACCATGGTTTAAGAAAGACAGTTTCTCTCAAACTCAAGAGACACAGCAACTAGGCTATTTTTTTTCTCTCTTGCTCCCATCCTCTGCATACCCACCTATGTTTGATAACTGATAACTTACAAACCAAGGTTCAATCCGCACTGACAAAAGTCTCAAATAGTCAGCACAATTAATTAATGCAAGTTTAACTTTTGAAAACTCAGACAGTTCAGTTCAAAATCCAAAACTTGTCAGAACTTGTTGAGTTAAAACGTAGAAGTAGATGGGCATAACTAAATGGGACTGTAATGACTTACAGTTCTACAAGTTTGAATATTGAATAAAAGTGACTGCCCTAACTAGGAATGTAATAGGTCAAGCTGATCTCGGCTGGATATCAAGGCTACTTCACAATTTACACATGTAATTACAGTCCAAGAATTACACTATTTCCCCACGTTTGAATTTCAAAAACATGGCAACATGCATTCACAAGCCTGAATATTTGACACATTATGGTCAACTGGTGAGCAGATAACTAGACTTATTCTATAACTGCTGTGGCTTTAATAAAAGGGCTGAAGAATCTAATAATCAACTAGGTTACACTATATAAGAAGCTATTAAAACTCTGAAAACATTCTAGTGTTAAATTTTGTTTCTGTGACCATCTGAACATGCTGATAATAAACTGCAGAACTATAGTGAATAAGCAAAAATAGCCGTAAGACTCAGAAACATGTTCTCATTTTCTACAAAATGTTACTGCTATTCCAAATAAAGTGCTAATGAGAAAACCACCCTTGTCTTTCCTTCATCTCCTGATACCGGCAGTAACAATAACAAAATGGAGATGATGATAGTTCTTAGAGGCCAATGGCAAAAAAAGGCTGAAATGCTTTCTGTCAACAGATGAAGAGCTGCAGGCCTACTCAAAGTGTTGAAGTGAAACAAAACAACACAAAACAGAAATGCTGATGATTCATTACTATACATTAAAAACTGAAAAGCAGACATGTAGGCCTACTTTTTTTGACGCCTACAAAAAAACTATATTCTAACTCTTCTTTTAGTTTCTGTTTTTCCGACTGAATAAAATAGCCCACTTGAGTAAACAGATGATACAGGGACTCTGGCGATTTGATTAATTAAAGTAAAACACGTAGTCACAATACCTTTTAGACAGAGATAAAATCTGCACCACAGGTGAGAGAAACAAATGTGAAACTTAGGAGCATCCAAAAAAGGAAAAACAGCCTTTGTTTTCCTGTCTTTATATTGAAGTGATCAAATAAATGCGAAAGCCAATAACCAAATCTAAGATTTGTCTATAGACTTTTATATTTTGTTACTATATTTTTTTGGACATGCTAGATTTTCTTTTTATACACTTTTGTGTGAGCATTGATGGAGGCAGCCTGGGAACAAAGCATTTAATATCCAAGGACTGCTTTATTGTAAATAAATAACTGTTGTGCAAATGACAAATAAAGAACTTTTCTTCATCTACTTCACTACAGTTAAAAGGTAAATGTAGCTGTAATCATTTTGAAACACATGACGAACTTATGATCGATTGTTGAATTATTTAGAAAATTTTAATGAAAAAATGCTAATCATTTAATTTTTCCAACT